AAGACTTATATTATTATTATTTTGGAAATCAAAAGTGATTCTTGTGTATTGATTTATTTTCCCTACCATTTTCCAAAGGAATTTGACCAGTTTGATTAAATTTCATTTATGTCAAGTGTACAAAATGTGTCAGAAACAATAAACAAACCCCTTTAATCCTTTTTCTTGCTTAAACAGGAAGTCTTCACTTGCCAATAAGAAATTTAATACAAATCCCCCAAAGCTTTATGTTTGTTTGAAAACATGAAATAGTTTAGGTCTTGGGATCTTGTAATCTTGGCATCTCACAGTTGCTGTCCCTGGTGAGAGCCCGTGTGTACTGTTGCTTACTTTCTGGGTCACTAAGAGGGTTGCACCTTGCCCTTTTAAACCCAGAGTCAAAGATGATTACAAATATTTTCCTCTTGAGATGTAACTTGTAAGGAAGATCACTGTGCTTTCTGTTAAATAAAATATCTTCTTTTAGTTGCCTTATCTGTTCACAGGCTTATAAGTATTTCATCAGCCTAAAGATTGTATTTGACATCACCAATTGTCAGAGACCATTTGTTTTTACAATGGAAAAAGAAATAAAAGCATAGATGTAAGACCTTAATCCATACTGCTCTGAGCTATTTTCATTTTAGAACAAAGGAATGTGTTGGGATTTTTTTTTTCTTTTGGTGGAGGAATAATGCCTACAATAATAAATATATCACTGTGACTAAGTAAAAATATTTTATACCTCTTTTTTTTTTTTTTGGAGACAGAGTCTCATCACATCACCCTTGGTAGAGTGCTGTCGTATCACAGCTCACAGCAACCTCAAACTCTTGGGCATAAATGATTCTCTTGCCTCAGCCTCCCAAGTAGCTGTGACTACAGGCACCCATCATAATGCCTGGCTATTTTTTGTTGCAGTTGTTTAACTGCCCAGGCAGCGTTTGAACCTGCCACCCTCAGTGTATGTGGCTGGCGCTGCAACCACTGTGCTACAGGCACCAAGCCTCTTTTTTTATTATTATAATTACAAAATTAGAGCAAATTTAAGAACAGAAGAAAATGAGTGAATTATGGGAGAGTGAAAACTCCAGGACACATTCTACTTTAGTAAAATAAAAATGGAACATGTAGACTCGGCACCCATAGCTCAGTGGTTATGGCACCAGCCACATACACGGGTTCGACCCCAGCCAAGGCCTGCTAAACAACAATGACAACTACAGGAAAAAAATAAATAAATAGTAGTATATGTACACCATGGAATATTATACAGCCTTAAAGAAAGATGGAGACTTTACCTCTTATATGTTTACATGGATGGAGCTGGAACATATTCTTCTTAGCAAAGTATCTCAAGAATGGAAGAAAAAATATCCAATGTACTCAGCCCTATTATGAAACCAATTTATAGCTTTCTTATGAAAGCTACAACCCAATTAAACCCAAGAAGAAGGGGAGAGGGAGGGAAGGGGGAGGGGGAGGATAGGTGGAAGGAGTTAACCAGTTTGATGAAAATATTTCAAATTGTATATAAAACCAGCACATTGTACCCCATGATTAATGTACACAGCTATGATTTAATAAAAATAAAAAAATAAAAATAGCCAGGCATTGTTGTGGGTGCCTGTAGTCCCAGCTGTTTGAGAGGTTAAGGCAAGAGAATCATTTAAGCCCAGCAGTTTGAGGTTGCTGTGAGCTGTGACGTCACAGTATTACCAAGGGCAAAATAGTGAGACTGTGTCTCAAAAAACAAAAAAAAAAATGGATCATGTAAAATTCAAATAGTAATAATAATAATTACAGCTTCATTGTCAGAAAAGTGGTATTATTACAAACTATCAGTCTTGGCCAGGGCAAGGGCTCACTCTTGTAATCCCAGCACTCTGGGAGGCCGAGGCATGTGGATCACCTGAGCTCAGGAGTTTGAGACCAGCCTCAGCAAGAATGACACACCATCTCTACTAAAAACAGAAAAGCTAGCCAGGCAGTGTGTAAACACCTATTGTCCCAGCTATTCAGGAGGCTGAGGCAGGAGGATGGATTGAGCCCAAGAGTCTGAGGTTCCTGTGAGCTAGGCTGATGCCATGGCACTCTAGCCTAGGCAACAGAGTGAGACTGTTTAAAACAAAAACAAACAGGGTGGTGCCTACTCTCAAAGAAGTAGGGCCCTGGCCCCATATGCTAGAGGTGGTGGGTTCAAACCCAGCCCCGGACAAAAACTGCAAAAACAAAACAAAACAAAACAAAAAACAAACAAACAAACAGAAAAAACATCTTGCAGTCTTAGCAATTAAGGAGTCTGCTTCCTCCAGGCATAAGACTTTAACATTAGTGAACACAAGTTCTGGTACCCAGACCAAATTAGGTAATGTTGTTATCAGAGATTAACCCTAGCAACAAACAGCTAGCAGCAAATGTG